ACAACGTTGCACACAGAAACCTTCTCGTCTCCACATCATCTACACTGGCAAACTCGTCGTTCCTGTCTAATCCTGACTCTCAGGAGAGGAGACAGAACGCACCAATTAGCGACTGATGACACTGCAACGAGGATTAGTGTCAAGCGATATGTTTTACGAAAACAAGCGTGCCACCGATGTCGCTCAATCGTAAGGCAGACCGACATCCCAAAGATTCCTTATGTCATGAGCTACGACGTGAAAGCCTTACTGCAGGAGGCAAAATACACTGATGGCTATTGTTGCCATTATATCAGTTATTCGGTTAGTACTAACTCTGCCAACGTGGGAAATCTACGTTAAAATTGTCACATCATCCCGAAGCTCTTTTGTAGAATGCCGGTGAAACTTCAAATAAATTTGATCATGAGAGCGTTCATACTGAATCAATCACAGAAGCATTAATTAGAAAACAGAAACAGTCAGCACAGTCATAGTTACTTAGAGGGCAATTGCATATAAGCTTACTTGATTATCGGCATTATTACTGAAATACACTGAAAATAATTTCTATTTCTCTGAAAAAAATGCATACTGTGCAGAAAAACACCCTGTTACACGGCTTGTTAGAGGTTATAAAGCTAACAAACACTGTCAGTCAGGCTATCTAGGAATGTATCTACTCTTTTTTCAGATTATTTTTTAACAGCATTATGAAACCTGTAACCAGCATTAAATGAAGAATATGACCTCTGACTGATCTTGCACTGTCTTGTTTCAACAACAGCACAGCTAGCATCTCATATTACCATGAGGCAATAGACAATAACTCAACACAACACCAATCCAAGGTGCGAATACGCAAGAACACTGAAAAGCTAAAGATAGTATTTAACCATCGGGATGTCATCATTAGCTATATTCCATGACTTTCCGTCATACGTGCACTTTACCATGCTGAGCTACTCTCCCTTGTTCTGTCATCAGGCACAAGTACTTTATTTCTTGTTTAAGGCTATATCTGCAATCGCATGCGGTCTCATATTTTCTTTTCACAAAATGGCACTCATTCATCTACAACGGAAACACAACCGAACTTAGCACACGCTCAGCTTTTCGACAATGATTTCGACGCACCACCGGCGAATTACCCAGAGCTCAGAACAAGGCTTGTATCCAACTAGCAACTTCGAACACGTTAACTAATTCTAAGTCGTTTCTGACCAAGAAGCTCAGGTTCTTACCACTGTACCAATTAAAAAGAATATGTGTTAAAAGAACATAGCAAACTGTGAGGGATTAGCACCTGGTACACACATTCGAATGTTATTACTCGTTGCATTGCGCGTAACGAAAGACTGTTTCAGGGCGCCTGTACGTTAGCAACGTTTCTTTATTCCTGTTCCCCGATACAGTGGTGGTGGCGAAGCCGGCAGAGCACAAGAACTTTGTCGTTTTGGACTACTGTCTCTGGCAGTACGTAGATATGAGACTGCTACAGGACGATTCACCCCTGGTATTCGAAGCACCTACAAAAGCAACCGTTTTCACCAATAAATGATTAATTGACATTTAGCTCCCGGCGGGTATCTCTGAAGCGGTCGGCAACTTCCGGCAAATCTTCCGTTGCACATTCATGCAGGACCACGCCGGCCGTCAGGTGGAGCTCATTCTAGCGTCAAATTCAGCAGCCGAACGAACCAGGTGGCTGGACATCCTCAAGCCACCGTCAACTTTCATGGACGGTGAAGAAGAGCGGATATACGATGCTTGGGATTGTCCCCAGGTCCATGCAACAGGACTTTATCAAGCGCACGAAGAAGATGAAATCAGTCTGTTGATCGACGACCTCATCAACGTATACAGAAAAATGCCAGACGGTATGCAGC